CAAGATAGGAGATCTAGCCAGACCTGAACATGAATCATGCCTATTGCTTTAATATAAAACTGGGTTATTAGCATTACACACAACACAAACTTTCTTGTCCCTTAGAATTATTCCACATAAGCTTGTGTTACTCTGTATGCCACCTTCTCCCCTACAATAGAGTCCTGATTATTTATTGTATGGCTGCAAGGTGATAATGTTCTTATTAATCCTTAAAACATCCTTATTAGAGAAGTAAACTTTACCATCAATTCACAAATATGGAATGTTTGATTTATAGGTGATAAATCACTTGTACATTATCAGCAAAACCACTGTTAAAATATGTTGTTGTTGTTGTTGCTGTTGTTACGTGTTGTTGAGTTGCTTGTTATTCTTAGCAATCCTATGTTCTGAAGTTGGTCTTGTCTTGAGGCAGTCTCGCTGACTCCAATACAACTACCCTTATTGCCCAAGTACTGTATCAAACCATCTCATCTGGAGTCTTTTTCCTGTCCCTGCACCCTTCTGAACATGTTCTTTTCTAATGACATGTCCCTCCTGGCCACATGTCCAAAGTAGGTGAGATGGAGCTTCAAAAGGAAAAACTTGATTTTGCCTTATCCAGGAGAGACTTATTTGTTTTTTTAGTGGTCTATGGTATGTTCAATACTTTTCTCCAGCACCACAACTCAACGACATATATTTTTCTTCTGTCATCCGTAGTCATTGTCCAGCTCTCTGATGCATAGCAAGTAATTGTGAAGACTGTGGCTTGAATCAGGTGCACCTAAGTCTCTTGACTAACATTCTTTCACTGTTATTTTTATTCTCAAATTAGTATCAATGAGGGAAATATAATAGCAAATGATAAAAAAACAGAAGAAAAATTACTCAAAATATTAAAACAGTCATCCCTTTCAATAACATTTTGCTGTGTTTATTTGTAAGAAATATTTGCATAAAACCCAAAATCCATGTTCATTCCACTATACTATATAGCATTCAAACCAAGTGAGGGAGGGTGTTAAATAATCAAAATAGGAAGAAAAGAAGGGGCATAATGTAGGTTAATAGACTAAAAATTGTTGTTGCTAAGATAATGAAGAAGGTTGTTAGTCATCTCCGGTTGACTTAGTCAGTTAATTACTTTATAATTAATAAATTAAGCCAAGAAAGAAGGGTTCAACAACATAGATATTAAGGATGGCTCTTAAAGACATTTGCTCCGCTCTTTATTCTCCCATTCATATCACCTCCTTCCACCTACTGCTAGAAGCTCTGGTGGCATAGTCGGAATCATGTTCTGTTGCAAATTAAAATGCTACATTTTTACAATTGTTTGAGTCCACCACTAACTCCACAGAAGAAATATGAGAAATCTCCTGTTATTAAGATTTATAACCTCAGAAATCAATTTTTTAAGAATATTTACTCTTATATTTACAAAGTTCATATACATTGTTTTATACACTGGAAGCTTTCCATTTCCTTCACCTCCCCAACATGTCAAATTGTGTGACCCTATGATTACTGTGTCTCCACCCCAGCCCATTCTCAGCCCTCTGCTTCCACCCTCTTCCCTACTGGATCATTATACCCATTCTACAATACTGGTCTTATACAGTATTTGTCCTTATGGGACTGAGTTAGCTAACTCAGCATAATGCTCTCCAGTCCCTCTTAAGTTAAGCAGTAATTTACAAAATCATTGCTTCTCAATACTGCATAGTATTCCATCATGTGAATGTACTACAATTTCTCAATCCATTCAACTGTGGTTGAACATTTGGGCAGTGTCCATGTCGGTGTTCTTGGGACAGTGAATAACACTGCTATGAAAATTTTTGTAAAAGTCTTCATTTGCGCCTCAGTTCTCATCCTCTCATGGTATATTCCAAGCAGTGGAATAGCTGAGTCATATGGAATGTCTACATAAGCACCAAACTGCCTTCCAGAGTGGTTGTACCATTTTATAATCCCACCACAAATGTAGAAGAGTTCCTATCTGGCTCCATCTTCTCCAACATTTACCAATTGAATATTTAATGAACTCTCTTATTGTGGGTGACTAGGACAAGATCAGTTCAAAATTATCAAATTGGGGAGAAAATGTTCTTTAACTAATTTGTTAGAGTAAAACTATCCCCACCACAACCACCAAAGTTATTAAATAGGTGCTAACATGCAGTTCGAATCTACCAGGTGCTGTGTGAGAGAAGATGGACAATCTCCTCCTGTGCAATTTACTGTCTTTGAAAATTCACTGGCAGGTCAGTTTTGGGTTGATCTGACTAGATGACACATAAGAAGAAATGTATATATTATACATGATGTTGCTATTGCAGTTGACTACTACTTAGAGAAAACTTATGAATAGGAGATGTAACCCTTGTCCTATTCTGTGCCATCCTCTTCATCTCTGAACATTTGAGGCCATTGTTACAGTCATGGTGTCAATTATTTTAGTTGAAGGTCTTCCTCTCTTTTGCTGACCTTCAATTTTTCTGGGAGTGATGTTCTTTTTCCAAGGATTATCCATTTCTAATAGTATGCCCAAAATACACGAAATGAAGCTTCACTATTCTTGCCTACACATTCTCAAAAACATATTTTTTTGTTTTTTTTT